TTTTTTTTTTTTTTCTTCCCAAGATAAAACAAAAGTACATGTATGAAAATGAGAGGGGAAAAATTATTTATCACCATTCTTTGGGAGCGCAATGGAGGTCCGGGGGGGGGGGATGAATATTCTTGGGAGCGAGGGAAGAAAAGGAATTTTCGCAGCCAGCCGAGATTGCGATCTAGCTGTTGACGGCAATTAGAATTTCAAATTTCGCGTGATCTGTATACGGGTAGTATGGATGTGAGAATTTACGAAACTTTCAACGAGCCGTGTATACCTACTCAATCCGAGTGGATGAAATGTATACCAATGATTTTGCCGGCAAAAGTGTCATTTCCATTCCACCCCATTTTTTTTTTTCAATTTTTTTTCAATTTTTTTTTTAGTAATAATTGTGTCCATTCACCGATTAAAACAAAAATGATGGTTCTCTGATTTACAACTACACAATTTGTAGTTATTCAATAATTTACTTGTTGCAATTTACTTTGAAACTTGAATGTTTGCTGATTTACAGTGATATATATTATTTACGTTCATCCAACGCATTCGAATCAATATATCACCCAATTCTTTGAAAAAAAAAAAAAAATTCGCGACTTGAGCACGCACAATTTTTACCAAAGCATTTATCACTCGTCAACGATAAATCACGTTCGACTCCGACCAAACCGACGCGGTCCCGTTCGAGCGGTGCAAAAGCAGCTTTTGATCCCGAATACTCGAATTATACCGGCACACATACACGCACACGCGATTGGGCTGCAGGAGGAACCTTTGATGCGAATTAAAATACGCACGGTGGATCGAGCACAAAGGTTATTATGCATATGTCAGGCGCTGCGAGCGATTTTGATCAGTCAAGTGTAATTACGGGAGCGATTGCCGATACACTCCACCGCTCTTTCAATGAAAAATACGTAAATCATGCGCGGAAAGTTCAACATTTGCAAGCTCGAATGAGAATAGAAAAAAAAAAAAAAGCTTGAAAAATCTGTAAAATCTCTGTTTTCGCGGGGAAAACGAAAACGAATTGATTGCACGCGACGACGCAGGGTCAACGGCACTCATACGTACGCTGCACACGCGTGTATACACACATACCGTGCGCCGTTCACTGCCACTTTATACCGTATATGAGTTACACACGTACTGCACAGGGAAAAGAAAAGAAAGAAAAAAAAATCGTTGAAATGTACAAATAAGCCTCTCTCGCATATGTATATATGATATATGCATTAAAAAAAAAAAAAAAAAAAACAAAGAAAAGATATGTAGTCTTACCTTGTGCATGGGGGTGCCCCAGAAGTCGTTGAAAAAGACATTTTTGAGGGGCGTGTGGGGCCTGAGGTCGCGATTGTCCTTTATCGCGGATATGTCGTCGAAGACGAAGCCGCAGCCCAAGCTGTTCAGGTAGACGGCGAACGCGGCAGCGGCTACGAAAGCCGCGAGTGCTCCCCGCGCGGGCACTCCCATGTCATGGCCCGTACCAGCTTATGATGTGGCTCCACGGGCTCCTGCCCCTTTTTTTTATTTTATTTTTTTTTCTTCACACGACCCCGTCGTCAAATCATCGCCGTCCACCACCCTGTTGACGAACACACGGACTAAAATTCAGATGGGGCTGATGGGGAGCAAGGGATAAGCAAAACTCCAGGGGGCGCTTGGGCTCCGCCGAAGCATCAGCCCTCCGGCATCACGACGGGCACCCCGTCCTCGGAGTCGCGGTCAAGGCTGCAGGACAAAGTTGGTCGACGCGCCTCCGGTGCAGCTGATTCGCGAAACCACTTCCTCATGCTAACAGGTGCGTGTATGTGTGTAGTACTATGTACCGTCTCTCTCTCTCTCTCCGGCGTCTCTATTTTCAGACGTGCTTCCTGCCTTCGTCCCTCCACTATCCGGACACTTGGTCGCCTACGTCTCGCCGAGCTGGTCCATGTCTACAACTCCTGTTAAGCGCTTGGGGGAACTCCAGATCTGTCGGTTGCACCGAGAGCGGCTCCTATGGCTGCGTGTATATACCTGTGCCCCGAGATTCTTTTCTTTTTTTTTTTTTTTTTTTTTTTTTTTTTTTTAAATTAATGTGAGTGTAGAATGAGATAGTGCGAGCGATGTGTGTATAATATAATTATGCATCTGTAGGCCAACTCGTGTAGTACTTTATTAATTTTTCCTTCCTTTTTAAAAAATTTTTTCATTAAAAGTTACTACGTAGCGCGTACACACGTTCGTTTCAAAGATTAAAAAGTGAAAAAGCATCAGCCCGTGATATTTCGGCATTTACCTTATTTTTTATCTTCGATATGGTACAGAAAATTCATCACCACTTGCTTTAGCATAAATATTAATCTTGTAATACACAGTTTTTATTTATTTATTTTTTTCCAAAAGATTGAATTTTACTTTTTGTACAAAATATATAAATGTTGTTAATACAGGGCACAAACAAAAAAAAACTATTTGTTGATACACACCTAAAATCTTTAGTGAAAAATAATCAACATTACAGAATATACCCAACAATATGATTTATGGAGGCTTTCAACATTTATTAAAGATACTTCATTGTCAAAATTAAAGTAAGACGGTACAACATACGGTTTACTTTCAATGCGTTTGAACAACTTGGCACATTTTTATTTATCGACACATGCAAGTGTTTCCAAAGTATACAAGTGAAATTACAGCGTAAAGGTTTTTTTTTTTTTTTTTACCTTTTATCCGAAGCTCATTTATAGTAAGCGTAGTCGATGTACCGAGTACAAGTATATACGCATCTTCATAACTTTATTCTTTTTTTTAATATAATAATTTAGTTTTCTCGGTTTCATGACTCGAGTGTAGAATACTAACATTAGATTAGATTAAAGATATAGATATAATCACTCATCGAGAGATTACCTCCGCTAATGGGACCGTTTTTCTTTACCCTGATGGTGTTTTTTAAAATAACACTTTCATTCGTTTCGGTACTTTCATTCTTGTGTTTCTATGGGCCTAATAAACACGAGCTCCATGGACCTTGTATTCAACTTAAATGGTAAGCTTACAAAATGTTTTCATGCTTAACTCATTTTCGTTTCGAGAATCAAGCCCAATTCATCATCAACGTAAATATCAGCAAATACAATACTGATGAATCTTTCCAGAGAGCAATGATTCATCGATGAGAAAATATCGAAGTTTGCATCGGGAAAACACATCAATCGATCGATAAATGTCTCGAAATCCTACTCGTTACCGTTAAAACAATGTATACATACATATATATCAAAAACCCAAACAGCGATGCATAGAAAATAGAATTGAATTAATTCGCGTGATACATACACAGTAGGTATAACATACATCGATATTCAGTATCAATTTCAAACTTTGAACGCTTCGATTGAGTTTCAGCGGTAAACACAACCTCGGTAATATAGAATTACATTGAATCTATATGTATATTCTTGGTGGAATCGAAATAATGAAGTTCCTCTTGCTAAGTAATAACTTGCTCCCGCAGATGCACTGTACCAATTTACGATGGAGCCATACATTCGAGCCACTGTCGAAGATGAAAGGCAAATAAACGGTATTTGTTTACCTCTTTGCTCGCGAGCACTCGACGACCGAAAAGAGAGAACGAGGGCATTGAAACCGATCGAGTTTCCGCACAACCTTGGAGTTTATGGCAAAAAAAAAAAAAAAAAAAAAAAAATGAAGTAGAACTATAGCACCTCACGCCAGCACCAGGAGCCTCGAGGCGTAAACAAAGCCGAGGCTGAGAAGGCTGAGCGCGCCGGAGCCAACGCTGACGCCGGAGCCGTAGTTGTCCTTGGTGAGCCTGTCGTGGCAGCTGGCTATGGAGTCGAGGTCGACGCTGCTCATGGGCCTACCGTTGAACTCGGGCGCGTTCGATATGCAGTAGTTCCTGCGGCGGAACTCGTTGGCCGACCCGTTGACAAAGTCGCTGTCGAGGACCTACACGTTTATCAAAATACAACATTTTTCATGTTTGTATGGAAATTATTGCGAGGACTATGTCTAAACTACCGGTGGTCCTGCCTTCGTTTACTCTCGCCTTTTTTTTTTTTCGAACATGTTTCCGACAGTTAAATATAGACAGCATCATGAACTACTTTAATGATTTTTGTGCGTTGCTCAGATTTTTTAAATTATAAACGTGTATATGTGTACAGCCATCTGATAAAATTATGCAAAAGATTTAAACGGCAATTAAAAAAAGCATTGTACTATTTTTTTCAGAAAATTTTAAGCTGTCGAAAAAAAATTTTTGGTGTGCAGGCAAAACCTTGGACTACTCTATCGTTTCATACCAAATGGAAACGTAGATAATGATAAACGTTCAAAAATTAGAGCAATAATTAATTATTTATTCTTCTGTAGCAAATAAAATAATTATTTTCATTTTTGTTTTAGTCCACAACATAACTTAATATTTCGCTCTGAATGGCAATATAAATCAGTCTGATGGATTTTTTACCATCATCGAACAAAAAGAACAGTTTGAAATGGATTTCTACCATATTTAAAACTTTTGATGAAAAAACAAAAAAAAAAAAAAAACATTCTGATGTCCCTTATTTTTCAACTATGTTTTTTGATAACACTGCATTTTTTTCAACTTTTCCACCTATGCACATAAATAATCAATGTCACGGTATGTTTATTTTTTTCGTACTCACCAGGTGGATCTGACAGTCGCAGGGAAAGTGATTGCCCTCGACGTAGAGGTTCGACACGTGGAAGGCCACGTCATCGGGACGCGGGGCGCGCAGAACGTGGTTCTTTTGGAAGCGAAGGATGGATACCGAGTAGTTGGCGTTCAGGTGGAACTCCTCGATTGCGTCGATTTTACTGCTTATTATGTTCAGGGAGCCAACCTGGTCGAGACCCACGAACGAGTCCTTGCGGATGATCCGCAGATCGCTCGTCTGGATCATTATTTTGAGCACGTGTCTGTCGACCATATATACAGTCGTTTATGGCTCAAACGAGTTTTATTCATTTATTTATTAATTTTACAATGAATAATTTATGGTACGGATCGTAAAACGTATTAATACATCAGTTTCTTCCTAAAAAACTTGACGAATCTTCAACCTCATGTATCCAAATGAGGGATTATTACTAAAGCATTCACCGTATGGATTTTAAATTCAAAGTAAGCCAAAATATACGGAAAAAATGAATGAAAAAAAAAAAAAAAAAAAAATCGCGTAACCTAATTATTTTACCTATTGAAATTTTTTGACGATTACTGGCACGTGCAAAAAGAAAATCGATTCGTCGTTTGAGTTTGCTGTCGCTTGGTACATCAGAGCAAATTACAGAGCCCATAGCCTTTGACTCGCGACACGAGGAGGGGAGATAAAGTCCGGCTTACAAAGTTTTTCGTTTAATCAATACGCACGCGCGCACACAAACCCCGGAGAGCTTTCGCTCATCCATCTCTATACCACGTGCGCTCCCTTTCCCTGTGGCGTGCAGACGCCTATGGGCGGTCGCTATCGGAGCTTACCCAAACAACCTTTAGCGTTGTATACGTCTATTAACTCCCGTCAATGTTGGTGCTGCCGCGAGCCAAAAGCCGCGAAAGCGACAATATACAAAGACACGGCAACTTTGCGACGAGCAAGCATCGGAAGGCAATTATAAAGTTTCTCGCGTTTTAGCGCCCTCGCGGCGTACTGTGTCCTCAATACTCGCGCTTGTGTGGTTTTTTTTTTTTTTTTTTTTTTTAACTCCAACTTACCTGTGTATACTTTTCTTGATTAAAACTGATGCATTTAGTTTTAACGACAGAACGATTGTTCGAGCTGAATTAAAAGTCGGTCATTGTTTAAGACACTCGCGGATCCAAAGAGGCACAAAGGCACGTGTCCTAATTTAATATCGCGAGTTCGAGAGTCAATGTTATACCTATGTGCCAATGGTACGCACAACAAAAACCGCGACGGAGCAATTAAAACTAACGACGTCAAAAGTTTTCAATGTAAGCGCAAGTGTCGTGACGTGTATGGTATACAATAGCGGATGGAGCGTCCGTGTCTTGGTTTTAATGATTCTCAGAGCGGAGTTGGGAGGGGAAAAAAATCGCCGTTGCATTTGAAAAAAAAAAAAAAAGAAAAAAAAAAGGCAACTCACTTGAGGCCGCGGAAGGTGTTGGCCTTGAGCCCGTCCTTGAGGTCCATGTAGGGCATCTTGAGGAGCCCGACGTACTCGAAGCCGTTGAAGGCGTCGGGCTCGATGTCGGCGATGCCCCCGGGCAGGACGAGGTTCTCGACGTACGTCAGCCCCGAGAAGGCGTTGCTCTGTATGACGACGAGGGGGTTGTGGGTGAGCATGATAAACTGGATCTGGGAGCTGCCGGCGAAGGCCTTGCCGGCGATGTAGGCTATCCTGTTGTGGGCGAGGAGTATGGTCGTGACGTTCTGGAGGGCGGCGAACGAGAACTCGCCAATGTGGGCGAGGGGCGTGTGCTGGATCGAGAGGACCTTGAGCTTGCTCAGGCCGTTGAAGGCGAAGGGCTTGATGGCGCTTATGTTGTTGTAGTCGAGCTCGAGCTTGTGCAACGAGCGCAGGTGGGCGAACATGTTCTTGCGGATCTCGTGGAAGTCGTTCTTCGACAGGGTCAGCTCCTCGACGTTGTGCGGCAGCTTACTCGGGATGTCGGTGAAGCCACCTGTGTTGCACAGGATCTGGCGCGAGAGAAATTTTCGTATTGTATATATATATACAGAGTATTTATATTTATTTGTCATTTGTTTGAGATGTTGGCACTTGGCAGGTGTCTGTAAAACGCCGTGTAGAGTTTTCACTCGATTTCACCGACAAAAAAAGAAACGTACTCCGATTTGTTCGCAAAAAAGGGGCCATTCCAGTTGACCGTCCAAATCGAGATAGCCTCGTTTTTTCCTTAGGGAACTCGGATGAAAACTTTTTCGCGAATTTTCGTTTGCTCCTTTTTTTTCTCGCTTTATTTTTACATGCTTATTTTTCTACACCAACGTGTCGATACAAAGCTTTTAGTAAACAGCGATATTTATTAGTCATCAATTATACACAAATCCCTTAAATTCGTACAATTCATATCAAGATGATAATTTATTCACGAACTCACGTCGACGTACATCAATAAAAAAAGTAACAAATAATAAATCCAGAAGATCGATTCTCAGAAATTGCATTTTCATTTTTTTTTTATCTGGTACAAATAAATCGGTTTTATTGACGAGTGATCGAGTATCCAACCAAAGTACCCGCCCTCAAACAATATTCCCAGTGAGATTTACAAAAAAAAAAAAAAAAAAAAAGAATCATCGTTCGCACAGAGAAAACACTCAGAGAAAACACTCAGAGCCTCGCGCAAAAGAGTGTATCTTTTCCACGGAAGGGAAGAAAACTTGTACGGCAGAGAACAATAGAGCAGTAACAACAACAACAACGTTTTAGCAAACCGATACTCTTCGCGAACGTACATCCTCCCCCTTTCTCTTGGCGTATGCGTGTACGTGTGTGCACAGCGTAACACGTTCCCTCCCCCCCTGGTCCTTTCGTATATAGGGGTAAGTATACACTCACTGAATTTGAAAGCGATTGCTCGGGCAGGTAGCGGGCACTAGTTCCAAAGTCCCCGACAGTTTGAAAACTACGGATTTGAGGGGAAACAAGTTTCAAGTTAATGTTGTCGCGAACTCCATACACACACCCATACCCCATCTTGCCTCAAACGCGGGCCACTCCATCCTCCCCCTATCTTCGGCCATACCATAACTTTAAATCTCTTCCTCGGCTCATGCTCTCGCACTCAATTATGGAATTCGAAATTTTCTTCCTCCCTTTACAGTTACCTATCTATCTTTGGGTGTAAGCGTATATGTTAGATTCTCATCGTAAAGTACCGCTCTGTATCCCTTCCTTTTTGGGTGCATATACCTACATTTATAGCAAGAGCATATATAATGTATATTTAAGTGCGATCTCGTACAAGAGGCTCCGTCGTTATATGTACCTATACCCACTGTACTGTACCGAAATCGTTTATTCGCTACTTAAAATTAATAATCAATACCGATTACTGTATACGTATGGGTAAGGGGTGAGGAAGGAAGGGTCTGTCGGTGAGTTGGGGTTAATTGATTTTATTGGGAGAGCGAGAGAAGGGGGATGGCTCGATAATCCGATAACAGGAAGATTTGTGGTCTCCGCGGGCCGATCGCAGACGCCACCCTCTCGCTCGTTCGGCTTTTAATTATTGATCATCACAGGTGGGTATAAATGCATACACCGACGCGTGTTAGCTGGCACTCGCGTGTAATTGAATATCGAGCACCGGCTGCCGGTGTTGCTGCAGCTACTCATTCTCGCGCTATAGAATTTACTCGCGAAAGCCGTGAGTGATGAATTACCCCGGTTTATCCGCTGTCGTGCATTCATATACCCTCGGGGGGAGGAAGAAAAACTTTCTCAGCCCCGTGCCCCTGATGCTTTTGTTGTTGTTGTTTGTTTGTTTTGGTAATTCTTTCGCGTGGAGAGTAAACTGAGCTCTCCCCTGAAATGATTGGACGGCTGGAGTGGGTATAGTAGTTTTTTTTCTTCTCTCATCCCTTTTGTTTTTCATTCTCTTGCCAGCAGATTGATTTTACGTGTTAATTTGCGTTAATGTTTCTTTCCTCGTTTTTTGTTTTTTTTTTTTTTTCTTTTTTCTTTTTGGGCTAAAACCAGCAATTTTTAAAAAGAGGCGAATATAACGTTTGATTGGGATTTAAAACCCTTACGTTTGCAAATAAAAGAAAAAAATATATGGATATAAAAGAAAACGAGTACCGTTCGTTTTCAAACGAACCCAAGTAACATCAATAAAATGCATTTCAATGCTCCCTGGCAAAGGTAATGCTCTGTAATGCATAATCGCGGAGTTATACAGAAAAAAAAAATAATAATAAATAAATAAAATCTAAAATCGTACTCGTTGATTCATGGTTATGGCTTATTTGCCCAGAGCTGAGATTCATAAAACACTTCTCATTCAAGCATTTGCTCTTTGATTCACTACATTTTTGCACCACGGAACCACAAATTCGAATCAACTCACGCCTCAAATGTTTGGTAATAATTACCACCATCGAGCAAATTAATGGCCTTAAAAAAAAAAAAAATAATAATAAAAAAAATAAAAAATAAATAAAATTACCTCAATTACGCGTTAAGCGCGAACCGTTATATAACGTGCCGGTTCTCTATCATTTATTCAAAGCTCTCAATCGACACCGATGCGTTTGATGCACGCGTTAATTCCACGGCACACAGGCTCCATTTACTCGTCCCACGAGCGCTTCTTTTATTGGCAGTACTAACCGGCAAGCGTTCGCCAATAAAAAACACAGGCGTATGTATAGACGATGCCGAGAGCTCCTCGCCCCGCGCGGTTCTGTTGCGAATGTATACGTATACTTATATATGTAAGCACATACGGTTGGCGGCCGAGACAACACTCCGCCTCGCTCTCTCTCTCTCTCTTTCTTTTTCGTCGTGAGTGGAAATAACGTATACACCCAGTCGCGCTCGCAAGATAAAATATATATTCGCGCGCGAGCCAACGGTGCGATTATAGTTTGCGAACCGGCTTTGATAGGCTGCGGAGGGAGACGGAGGGAGAAAGAGGATCGGCGAGTGTGGGCCCGTTCGCCTCTTGGTGGGGACCGGCTGGCTGTATATATATAAATATATACTCTCCACAATCTAAGTATAACATATATACACGTCACGTCGCGTGCTCGCGACAAGATGGGCGTTAGCGATTCGCTGTTGGATGGATATTTAATGTGCGATTGTAGCGCATAATAACTGCAGCTGATTTTTTTTTTTTTTTTTCTATCAAATCGGCGATTTTTCGTCTCATCTGTTTACGTATGGTGCCTGCAGATCTTACAGCAACGCGAAAATAATGAAAGCAGGAAGTTTGTAGGGAGAGCGTATAACATGTGTCCCAGGTGGTTTCAAGGACCGTAAGGTCTTGCTATATATAACATTTTTTCCTATTAATTTTATTTTGTTACGGCAGAGTATAGGGTCAAATAATTTTTGAATACAACGCGCTTGCAGGGTATATAATTATAACAGCGTATGGCATTGTTTACACGCCAACTGAAGTGTTTGCATAATTTTATGGAGTAACAAACGGTGACAAATGATTTGTTTAACCAACGCTGAATTGATGATGCAAGTAAAATAATAAAATAAAAATATCCAATAACGTGAAAATACGTTGCATTGGTAATTTTCAAATACCATAATATGTAAATCAAGAGGCCATTTGAACCGAATGAAGGACAATATTATCGTAAGATTACTTTTTTTAAAAGGCAAAGAAAATCCGTATCGAGAAACATCGCGATGGAGAGTGTCTTCTTACTCAAATTCGAGGAGCTTTTCCAAAGGAGCTTAACGATCGGTTTAATGAGCTCCCTTCGGACGCTCGCCTGATATTTCTCATCCAAGCACCTACTCCGAGTAATGTATATTTTTTCATTTTTTTCTTCTCTCCCCCCCCCCTTTTAGTGAAAAAGTCAATTAGTCCGTTGCAGGCACCCAAGTAATAATCATTTGTTCGGGACTCCGAGTCCCTTTTATATTATTATTTTCGTTCCTTCGGTGCAGCAGTCTAAAAACTCCCGCGAAAATTCCAGCACAGCGCAGTGGGTGTACGCAAAGCTCAGTTTTACCATGACCCGAACTTTTGCGCGTATTATTTAAGGATCCAGGTGAGTCGAGACAAATAAGTAAAAAGCGCACCGAGTAAAGTCTCGGGATGGTAGTTTCCCCTGCGCACTGCAAAAACGACGATTAGCATGGTACACCCGCGTCATTCAAATTCACCTACTGTACAAAGAAGGAGAGAGAGAGAGAGAGAGAGAGAGAGAGAGAGTAGAATTGTGAATATATACGTGATATACGTCACCTGCGTCTTGGAGAGACACATGCACCTCTGTATGCACCAGTCCGGCGTCGAGGAGGCAGCTTTTGTGGCGTCCGTGGCGATGGGACTTCCCAACGCGGCAACGGCGGCGTCCAACGGCCGCGGTAGACTTGCCAGCAGAGCCAACCATGGTAGCGAGTAACGAAGCCAGATCTGCATTTTCGGGCCAACGTTTGAACACACGTACCTCACATTGTTAAATAATTACATATATACCTCATGCAAGTGTACATGGTACAGGGAGGTGTAGGTCTGCGTAAGGAATAATGTTAACCCTCATGATTGGGCGTTCGTTCGGGACTTATGTGTACATATTCCAGTAGATGTACGCGTGGCTTGACGAACCTGCGAATCTCGAGCGCAGGAGTTTCACGCTACCCATATATAAGTGACCTCTTTCTAATCAATCGTTGGACATGTATAACAGTGAGGTTGAAGTTTCAAAGGTATTTTCAAGGCTATAAATGTACCCCTGCTCGTGCAGACGCGAACACGGGAGGGAGATGAGCAATTCACGACGGAAACGACACGCTCGTGTGTATTTTTACTTTAATCCTCCAACTGATGATGGATAATTCAAGTATTTGAAAGAATTTTTCAAAAGAACGGTGGCGTGTCTGGCGCTGAGTTCTATTAAATGATGTATATATGTATAATATATGATGATGCATATACATATAATATATGATGATGTGTATATATATATATATGTATGTATATATACTCGGATGATTCGGGGTCATCATTTGCTGTTACGTAATCGTGCGCCGACCGATCGCGAGGGGGTCAAGTGTCTTTCGAGTACCCGAGTATATTATAATTATGTATATACACCCTGGACATCGAACGGAGCATTCATAGTTCACCCTCTCGAACAGCAGAGCCAAAAAATTAATAAAATAAAAAAAAATAATAATAATAAAAGCACGTACACGCGACTCGAGAGGGAAAATGTAATTAACGCCAAATCGCCGAACGAATAAAGAATCCCGTCGAGGGTGGGAGAGCGTGAAAAATAAATGTGGATGCTGTTAAATAAACATGAAGGGGAGGGGAGCGCATTGTGCTCTCGAGTATAGTTATTGCGTCGTTAATATTATTTTCGGTTCGTTGTACGAGCGGTCCGAAGGTTCATTTCGCCGGACAGGTATACAGCCGACCGCTGCAATTTACGACGCCGGGGCACAGAGAAATGTATACGGTACATATAAATGGCGTTGGCTGAGGGGGGTGGGTGTTATACCACCGCGTGCACTTTAAACAACAATAATATACGCGTTCAGCGAGGGGCAGATAGCGCGTTGCTTGCGTTTCAATGTTTCAATTAAAACCGTATACATATAATATATGCTACAGCCGAAGCTATTCGTCATCTTTTTTTTTCTCTCCCGGGGGTGGTTTTTCATCCTAGACGTGCACCCTCCTTGAACTGTCTTTGCGATGTGTATACATATATATATATAATGATATATGTATCATTTATGCGCACGGGGCACCGCTATTATTTACCTTTAATCGCGGTCCTTTCGCCATCCACTTTTTCCACTCGTGTTGATTTGTTGGTACACCACGACGCCGATTCGAGGAGAAAAAGGTGTAATATTGTGATAGCAACAATGGGCCTCCCACCCCCCTGCGTTATTATCCTAACGCAATTACGCGATTCGATAATAGGTCCGTGAAATTAGGTGCCATGAATCCTTGGCGTGATAATTCCGAGTAAGCAGGGGTGGGGTTGGCAAGGAGGGGTAATTGAAGTTAAATTACTTCGATAATCGCGGCGCACGCTATACATTGTATAGAGGGAGAGTGGAGTGTTGGGGTAAAAGGGAGGGGGCTGAACGATAAATTGGGCTAATCTAATTTTATTTCTGTGCTCTTGTTTTCTCTTAGATTAATCGTATTCGACTATTTCCGTGCTTGATATATCACTCACGGTCCATGCGCTTTCCGCAGCATTATCTGTTATGCCCTGCTTTTCGCACAGAAACCATGAGAAATTCTTTTTTGATTCAATCAACTACACTTTTAACACGGCTACGTCAAACAATATTTGATCCAACTCAAATCGCCTTATTCAAACGCACTCTATTTTCTCTTCAACTCACCCTCGACTCGAACCATTGGAATACAGTATGCAGACTTTCACCCCGCCTCTAGATTACCCTTTACGTTCTTATTTTCATGCTTATCAACACTCATCTTTCATCATTTTCTCATAGATATACACATAGAAAGACAAATGTAATTGTATCTCTGACTGAATTTATAAATAACCGATAATATCACGTATGTAATTTGAACTGTAAAATTATTCTGTATGAATTATTATACTGCATTTTCCTGTGTAATTTACTTGAAGACACACGTGGTCATACCATACATACCATACTTATACTTATACGCGCACCGATGGGGAAACTCGAATTTTCAAATAGTTTCATTAGTGTACTATTACATCATCGATTTAACGAGCGATGTGGAACAAGAGAAGAAAAAAAAAAAAAAAAACTCGAGCAAACCGAGGGCGAGAGAGCACAGCTGCAGCGATGAAAATTAATATCTCAGGAGAATCGCGCGCGCGGGGGCATAAATCGAGTGAAAAATTAATATTTGAAGGTATACACCAACTCTCTCCCTCGGGGGGTAGTCGAGTTGTTACTTATTCACCGCAAAGTTTCCGTCTACTCTACACGCAGTCATATAATGTACGGGCATTATGTGCCGTACGTGCACCCCGGTGGTAGCGCACCCAAAGAGCCGAACTGCCGTTACCCTATACGTGGGCGTGCACGAAGATAATATCCTACTTTATTCGTACGGCAATAACATTTGCGTTACGCGCGAACAAAGGGATGGATCCGCAATTTGCATGGAACGGAAAAAGGGATGTAGGACCAAGTGCCCGTGTCGAGATGAAAGTTGTTGTTATGGCTCGTGAAAAACTTTCGGCCAAAGCTACTTGATGGATGTCACGACGAGCGCGATTGTGAAAACGAAAAAAGAAAAGGGTCTCTCGAATCAATTTGCAAAATCGAGCGCGCGTCTTTGAAACGTTTGTGCGCGCTTGGAGAAATTCCTTCCGAAGGGGCCGCAGGATGAAAAAAAAAAAAAAAAAAAAAAAAGGGAAGTGCACACGTGTAACAAAACGCGCTTGAAAAATAACATTTGGAAACACGAAAAGTGTATTTTATCATTTTTACCACCAATTATTGTACCTATACCAAATCCAATAAAGTAAAGAAGGAAAGGAAAAAAAAAAAAAAAAAAAAAAAGGGAAGAAACGAGGAACGAAGTTGCGCGTCAACCGCAAAAAACAACATCGAGGGGAGCGAGCAAAGAAAGCCAATCTCGAAAATAAGAGAAACGAGCACGGCCAAAGGGAAGGGAGCGGAGAAGGTGGCCAAAGGCACGTGAGAGAAAAAAAGCACAAACAGCGACGGGGGAACAGACGAAGATACATCCCCCGGAGGCTCTTATATTATACGTTCCGTTGTCTGCACACGCGAGTGTGTCCCCATATATATGAGACGGTACGCGGATAAGAGGGAGATCGCCCGAATATACCGTGGAGGGTGTATTATGTACAAGGATCTCGGTTATAGCGTCACTTCTTACCGCCAATGTAAATACGAGCATCTATACCTGCGCTCTGCGATACATCAATCTCGAAATTTGTAGGGCGCATGCCTCGGCATCGAATTCGGCTGTTGGGTAAAAAATCGCCTGGCCGCTCTAGCCACCCCCTCCTCCTCCTCCTTCTTCTTATCACTGCTTTATTCGATTGATAACCCACTCCGCAGCCGTCCCCGGCGAAATAAGCTTCTCGCACGCGCCGCCGGTCTCCTCTTCCTCTGCCTTTTTCTTTCTTTTTCTTTCTTCCTCCGCCTGACACTCACACTCGACGGAAATGGAAATTGTTTTCCCCCCCGCTAGCCCGCGTGTTTGCCGCGCACCTATAGCGCGATCCCCGACAGCAATGGGAGCGTTATTGCACGCTCTTGGGTTTGACAAACGATTTTTTTTTTTTTTTTTTTTTTTAACTTAGAACAACGGCACTACGTCACAAAGAAAAAGAAAAAAATATCATAGGACAGTAGAGCCCTTGACCTCTGGTAGATTCAAATACTCAAAAAAATTTTTTAAATGTAAAAAAACAGGGAGAAAGAAAAAAGGGCCCTGCTACCTAGCACACAGAGCCCACGTATAATGTATTATGTATACATGTGACGAACGAGTACGGAGGCAGTGCAAGTAAAGGGCCGCGAGCTTGAAACTCCTACAAGTGTACACGCACGATTGAACAGCGGCGCGAGATATGAGTTGGACACACGCGCGCGGGGTGAGCCAAGCGCAAGCTCTCCAACGCGGTCCTGCTGTGGCGCGCGCCGTCGGTGCACTGCTGGTGGTGTACGAGCCAGGCAGGCCAGCCACCCTCTCTCTCTGTGCTCTTTCTGGCGCGCGCCGGGCGATGAGCTTGCGGAGGGCGGGAGGATATCTCAGCTTTATTTCAAGCTCGGGCACACACACACAGAGGGACAAGCAGGGAAGAACGGGGCCAGGCTTCCGTGCGCAAGCTCGTAATTATTATCCCCGTCCTCTCGTATCGGAACGAACATTATTAGCGGAACGATCGGCCGGCTTTACGTCTTGGATGCAGCACGAGCTTTCCTCCGTACACACACACATATATATATATATACACACGCTCCTTCAGTACCTACCTGCTGCATTATACGTGGATTGGGCTACGTGTCTCTCTCTCTCTCTCTCTCTATTTTTTTTTTCTTTCTCCTCTATTTTATTTTCTTCCTTTCTTGCAGTAGAAGAAAAAAAAAAAAAAAAAAAAAAAAAAAAAGAGTAAATGGAAGGGGGACAAAGTCCGTCGCAATTTCGCAACTAGGTATGCGGAATCACGAAGCCACGGCACATACGTGAGCGCCCGGTGTATCGGGGCTAGGATGCACCCCCCTCGAGAAGGAGGAGGTGGAGGACGAGAGAGGCGAAATTAAGAGGGACGGACGTGAGAGCTTGCAAGCTCGAAATGACGAGAGGCGCGACCCGGAATTTCGAGCGCTCGAAATATTTCGGAGGCGGCGGACGCTTTAATCGGATATTTGGCGAGAGCGCCAGGGGACTGGAGAGGGATGGAAGGCTCTTCGCTTTAGTTCCTCAAAGAGCGCTTCATTAGAGTAATAGAGGGGGGCCCCTCGTGCGATCATGTTTTATTATTCACTCGTCTTTCGGCCCCCGGGGCGGAATGTGAGTGTGCGTGCGTGAAACTACTTTGTCATTTTTAAGCTGGCGATGATTATTGTGTCCTCGTTGCTCGTCAGTTACGATTCTCCAATGCGTTGGGTACCTTCGGAGACTTATTCGTTTTCACGGTCCTTTTGCAATAGAGTTTTTAGTACACAAACGCGTGTCAAGCAATTTTGCATTAAAGTTGGGAGTAAAAAAAATATGTACCAAAGAGTTAAAAGTGCTCCTCTGCGGATTAGTTGTGTATAAAACGGAGAGGGCTTTCTCTCGGGAATTTTTAATAACGAGCCAACAGGAGAATGATAAATCGCAAAACAAATTTTTTTCCGACGCTTCATATTGCGAGCTCAATTTATCACGAAAAGTATATATTTATGCAAAAGGATCGAAATGACACCGTATATCACTGTAAAATACAGGATAAGAGAAAAAAAAAATGGGAGAGGGAAGGAATGATAGAGGAAGTAACCGATAGAGCGGTGAATAAATGGTGCCGTGGAGTGTCTCTGGGTGAGAAATGATAAAGTAAAATAAAAAAAATAAAAAAAGTATGGTGAAGACGGAGCATGGAGTGGAGTTGGAAAATGCAAAATTATGGAATCCCGTACCCGAGCGTGGAAAAAGATAATAGAAAAGTCAAAAGGTGAGTCCTGCTTAGGATCATTTTGATTTTACGTGACATTTTTCCTTCCGATCTCCAGATTGAGAAGAAAAAAAAAAAAAAAAAAAAAGGATAATACCACGGGACTCGGCTTTAAATCAGGAAAGCTCAGTGAGCGAGAAATCACAGTCATTAAATTATTTTCATTTCTCTTTATCCGGGACTGATGGGAGGCAAAAAGAGATTTTAAATCCGTGAAATATTACGCACGAGTTCAGAGAAATACGTCAAGCAAATGAACGGATTATTGCCGAGCGACGATTACGCGGATGATTATACAGTTATGAATTTCCTAAAAATCTGTGCAACGAAGGGAATTTTTTTTTAATTTTTTTTTATTTATTTATTTATTTTCTTGTAATACTTGTTAAAACAGTGCCTAAAAAATTTTGTAATTATGAATTATGAGATGAAAAAAATTACAAATACAAAAGGCAGGATTCAAGCGTTGAAAAATTGTAAATGCGCACTGATTTTCCGCTTTTGCCCGATGTAAAGTGATACTCATGGTCTGGATCGGTCTCATCCCCACGGGCTCGCATAAAGTGGCACTGCACAAACAAAAGCAACGCCCACCGAGCTTTTGCTGATTTCCCTCCCTCCGAAAAAAAAAAAAAAAAAAAAAAAAAAAAAAAAAAGAATCATCGTTCGCACAGAGAAAACACTCAGAGAAAACACTCAGAGCCTCGCGCAAAAGAGTGTATCTTTTCCACGGAAGGGAAGAAAACTTGTACGGCAGAGAACAATAGAGCAGTAANAAAAAAAAAAAAAAAAAAAAAAAAAAAAAAAAAAAAAATTTCAACAAAACACGCGCATCCGGCATACAATTCGAGCCGGGTATAGAGTATCAGAGCACCCGAAAAGAAACATTTGCAATCAGAGCGCCACCGCCCCGCACACGTATACGTGTGAATTCCATTGTGTTTTCCCGTTCGTGCTATTATCTCCCCGGCGACTGCGGAGGGTGTATAAATACAGGGTAGCTGATAGTAACGCGTCCACCCCTCACACTGTCATATATACATACACATACACGTTTGCCAACGTATTATGAAAGCCAAAAAATAAGCGCGAAATTTTCCCGAAAATCCAGCTCGAGATAGCGCGCTTCGTTGATCTATACAGAGAGGGAGCTAATTATATCTCTCGGCTAGTGGTGAAGAAAAGAAAAAAGTTTTCCGACAACCAGAACAAAAAGGGGTGCCAGGTATGTGCACGAGCGTAAAAATCGCTGGAAAGAAAAGGAGAGGGGGGGGGAAAGAGGCTCGGATGTATGTAGAGGGATCGCGGGGAGAGGGTCGGCGCGTCCGGTCCGCCGGCACGCGCGTCACGCGAAACCTTCCTTGCGATAGATATTACTCCCACAGCTCGACAGGCGATCAACACCCCACAACCCTCCTTTCCTCTCGCGCTTGCGCGCATGTGTGTGTGTGTGTGTGTATATACGTTAGGCCGTGTTGTCCCCCGCACAGGGATTATTACGGGATTCGTGTAGCTCATCTCGGATTTTCGCGATCGTGCGTTAAATTCCCTTTCGTCGCATATATATCATACGCCATCGTGTCTATGTATTTGTAGTATTTATACATGTACTGGCCGATGGATCGCGAATTCTAGATGGTTTTTTTTTGAGGGGGTTGAATTATTGGAGTTTTTTTTTTTTTTTTTTTTCATTTTCCTATACTTTATACCTAAAGGCAGTGGGCTCTTTTCCAAAAGCTCAAACGTTTGGATACATGCGTGTACGTACACGCAGAGAGAACCAAGTCGATAGGGAAAAATTGTGTTCATAATAAGTGGAGCTTCTAAAGCAAAGTTTTACAGTCAATCTAAAACCATTTATGAATAAATTGCGTTTGTTTGTAGTGCATTTGGTGTGAATTGATTCAATCACTGCTTGCTACGTCCACAAAAGGCTAGATCTCCGATGTCTCCATCAGTATCGACAACTCCTTGAATTTCACAAATTACGCTATTGATAGGCGATGAGCTCAGCGTGTAGTTGGACACAAACTTTTTAATTAGCTTTGGGAACCGATAACTAAAGCGATAATCATTACTAGACAGCTAGCCAACCGGACAATCAGCTGGCACCCATTACTAGACCATTAACATGACTTGCTTATCGTGAGGCAGAGCTAGAGTCGTTACATCCATTTTGAGTCCGGGTCGTAATCTGGAATTCGTGGGAGAAATTATTTGGATAGGATTTTTTTGCATGATCTTACGCAGAATGATCACCTAAAAACGAATTTGCATGTTGCCAGGCTTCAAAGTTGTAGGAAAAATGTTTAAACAAAATTTTTTAAACAAATTGAAAATATTGTTTATTTTGTTCTGAAAAAAATTTTTTTAGCTTTTTTGGCTCAGTGCTGTCTAATGGGCTCCTGTTTCTCTTACTTCGTTCTATTTTCTTTAGAGCAGTGTTCAGGGTTCGTTTCTGTACATGTTGTCGAGAATTATCTTGCCTTTGTTCCCTCCACTGCAGGGATTCATACGACAACTTCTAAGCGTTTGCACACACTTCTTCTTTATAAAGAAAGCCTTTTTTTAGCACCTCTGCCTCTTGAAGGTGTTTTAGCGCGGCTTTTAGCCCATTCTTAACAGCATTCGCTGTGTTGCCGTACTTATCGTTGATTAATTGTAGCGTCTCTGTAATATCTTTTGTTGCTGATTAGACTTTATCAGCCACTTACTGTCACCTTACTCTGAGCTTAGCACCACTGTCTTCTAAAAAGGCAAGCTCCTCCTGGGTCTGGTGGCTAAATACCGACACGTTGCTAACCTCGGTGTCGTTAGTGCCTATACTCGACAGGCTTCCTCTTCGTCC